CTCACGTTGCCCCTGACAACTTTTCACACAATTCTCTGATTTTTTTTTCAGCCATATGCCCACACTCCTTCCTACTAAGGGGTCTAGTGGCTCATATCCCTGAGCCTTTCCGGGGAGACCTATGACACCGACCCTTAGCAGAACACAGAAAACAGAAAGCTGTGTTAGCATTGCCCAGGCTTTGCTGTAACAAACCAACCCCAAATCCCTGTGGCTTAAAACAACAAAGGCTGACTCATCTCTCACAGTTCACATCCCACACAGGTCAGCCAGGAGCCCCGGGCATGCTGGCCCTCGGGACTCAATCTGATAGAGGCGCAGTCACCTTGTAACCCTGCCGCCTTCATAGGAGGCTGCAGGGTTTATAACAGCGGGGCCTTGGGGAGTTCCTGCCCAGAGCCTACACATGCCAGCGCTCACACACGTTCCTGTGGCTGGAGCCAGAGCTGTCCACTGTGTTGGAAAGGAGAACTGGAAATACCGGGGCATGGGAGTACCTCTGCCACCCCGGTCACTGCTGCTCACTGCTCTCAGTCTTGGCGCTGTGGACTGTTTCCCTGGCATTTTAGGAGGCAGCTGAGATGAGCACCCTTTCTAGCTGTACAACACACCACTCCAAGAAGCCCAAACCCTGTGATTCACAACGTGCTTGCTAACATCAACCTCTGATTCTGCTCTGTACTCAAAATGATTCTGTTGCCTAAAGAGAGCTCATTAGGAACGGGCATTTGGCCTCACAGTCAAGAGCCATGGGGCAATGCCAGCATCCCATAGGGGAGCACCTAGGTTTGAAGCCTGCCTTCAGCTCCGGCCTCCAGCTTCCTTCTATTACAGACCATAGCAGGCACCAGTGATGGCTCAAATAACTGGGTTCCTGGCCGGCGCAGCGGCTCAATAGGCTAATCCTCCACCTAGCAGCGCCAGCACACCGGGTTCTAGTCCCGGTTGGGGCACCGGATTCTGTCCCGGTTGCCCCTCTTCCAGGACAGCTCTCTGCTGTGGCCAGGGAGTGCAGTGGAGGATGGCCCAAGTCCTTGGGCCCTGCACCCCATGGGAGACCAGGAGAAGTACCTGGCTCCTGCCATTGGATCAGCGCAGTGCACTGGCTGCAGTGAGCCGGCCGCGGTGGCCATTGGAGGGTGAACCAACAGCAAAGGAAGACCTTTCTCTCTGTCTCTCTCTCTCACTGTCCACTCTGCCTGCCAAAATAAATAACTGGGTTCCTGACACGCATGTGGGAGACCTGGAAGGAGTTCCTGGCTCCAACCTCAGTCCAGCTCCAGCTGCTCAAGGCATTTGGTGAATGAATGAGCGGATGGGGCATCCCTCTCCCTCCTTCCATTCTCTCTCTTACCCTCTCCCTCCTTATTAAGTAAACAAAAATTTTAAAAAGTTAAAAATATTTACAAAAGAGACCTCCTTAGGCTGTGGAATTTTCCAGAGTGGTCACTCTGTATGAGCATTTTTCAAGCAGGAGGTTTGGAGGCACTCTCCGATACCTAGGAGAGAGACTGCTTACCACAAGTAAACCATATGCAAGTATGTTTTCACAGTGTCAGGAAAAAGGTATTTTTCACTGAGGGCTGAGCACCTAGTAAGTCAGTTTTTTAATTTTTTTTTTTTTTTTGACAGGCAGAGTGGACAGTGAGAGAGAGAGAGACAGAGAGAAAGGTCTTCCTTTACCGTTGGTTCACCTTCCAATGGCCGCTGCGGCTGGCGCACCGCACTGATCCTAAGGCAGGAGCCAGGTGCTTCTCCTGGTCTCCCATGCAGGTGCAGGGCCCAAGCACTTGGGCCATCCTCCACTGCACTCCCTGGCCACAGCAGAGAGCTGGCCTGGAAGAGGGGCAACCGGGACAGAACCCGGTGTGCCGGCGCCGCTAGGTGGAGGATTAGCTTATTGAGTCCCCATCTGCACAAGTCACCAGCAAACAAATGCCAGTTTGCTGCACATGGATAGTGCAGCAGTCAGGAGGGAGTGACCAGCAGGGTTACAGCGACTTAGCTGGGAGCGATTCTATCGAGTGGTGAGTGGTAGTGCAGATGCTTTATGCCCTTGCCTGCTTCCCTGGAGTTCCTGACCCTGCTGTTCGGAGGCTACACTGCTGCTCTCACAGTAAGAATATCAGGGGTCTGCGCCACGGCTCATTAGGCTAATCCTCTGCCTGTGGCACCAGCACCCCGGGTTCTAGTCCTGGTTGGGGCACCGGATTCTGTCCCGGTTGCTCTTCTTCCAGGCCAGCTCTCTGCTGTGGCCCGGGAGTGCAGTGGAGGATGGCCCAGGTCCTTTCCCTGCACCCGCATGGGAGACCAGGAGGAAGAACCTGGCTCCTGGCTTCAGATGGGCGCAGTGCGCTGGCCGTAGTGGTCATTTGGGGGGGGGGGGTGAGCCAATGGAAGGAAGACCTTTCTCTCTGCCAAAAAAAAAAAAAAAAAAAAAGAATGCCAGGGTGCCTTCCCTTGGCCAGCTGACCGTGATCACAGCCGGATAGCCCCTTTTATTCAAACTGCACGTGTGTTAGCAAAGGATTTGGTCAAGTGTCAAATCCACAGCCCTTCCGTGGGAAGCCTGCCCAGATAATACCTTTTCCCCCCTTTTAAGTCTGTGATTCTCAACCTTTCACATTTGAGATTCCAAGAGAGAACTAAAGCAACCCAAAGCACATCACAGGCCCCATCTCAGGTGTGGTGGCTGGGAGAGGAAGGTCGGTCTCTTGCATTTTTAAGAAGCACCTCCCAGGCACAGCTCAGAGCACACTGCTTTGAACGGCTCTCATCCATTTTCCCCAACAGCACACATGGCAGAAATGCTCACTACATATTTTCTGGTGCTGAGGTGGTAGCAAATGATGGCGTCCCCATAAATACAGCACTGCAGAACGCAATAGATCCTACACACTCCAACGGCTTGCAAATGGATGGGAGGATTCTTACAGCATAGGTTTTTGGATTTGCTTTGAATTAACTATTCATGGCCCTTAAGTTCTGCTCACTAACTGTCTTGCATCAAGCTGAATCTGACTTTAAACGCATGACTGCAACTTCTGTAATCATTCCACCTTTTGAATGAAACATCATGGCACAGGGTTACCTTGTTCTGATCCAAATACATACGCACAGGGCCCCTACCGCTGGCTGTGCTTTGAGCTCCTCGGGAAGCTGCAGGTCTGAAATTTCACGGAGCCGGAGCGGCTAAGAAAGCTGGAGGAAGAGGCTGATGCGTCCCTGGACCAACAGCTCCTGCAGCTTTTTCTCTGATGGCTTTCCAAGGTTCTAAAAAGATGTGCGGCTGGTCTCACGGCAGCTCCCTTTCCACTTACGCTTGCTTGCTGTAACCCTCCTCCCATCCCCATCACTACCCCCAAACAGGGAGGAACCTGGAGACAGCTGGAGGTCAAAGAGAAGTCCACCTGTGAGTGCACCTGTTTTGAACTGACTCAGAAGCTCTGAAAACAGAGATACAAGGCCCATCTGAATTAACTGACCTGATGCCACCCCTGGCTGGGAAGGAGGCAATTCCTTCCCATCCTGTTTCCAATCTTCTGAAAGTGCTAGCAATTGAACAGGCTACCAGCAAACACGGGTGGTTAATAAAACAAGAGATGCACGCCACCGCTCTGACCCGCACAGCCCTTTGCACGTAATCAAATCAACGAAGAGCTTAGCGTAGTGGTACACTGGAAAAAGAGCCCGGTGCAATCATAAAATGCAAAATTCAAAGACACAGACTTTAACCTCTGGACTCTTCTCTTAACCCAAGCTCCGTATTTAAATGCAAGTGCTTAAAAAGTACTCAAGAGAATCGGAATGGGGAGAAAGTCTTTATGGCTAGGAAGTAGGGGCCAAGGTTAGCCTTCTTGATTTACTGGGAATAGGCTGGGACACCCAAGCTTGCCATGTTACCTAATGTCTTAGGTATTTCAATAATGGAACAAAATGCCAACGGATAAAGCCACAGCTCAGGGTAGCTCCTCAGTTTACAACTGAAAACATATGTATTTTTTTTCTGAAGAGGGAAGGTTGTGCTAGTACTCCCTGAAGGAAAAATTCCGAAGCCCACCGGATGTACGAATAAAACTGCAGGAACCCTTCTGGGAGATGGTTCCAGAGGCCATGCCACCCACCCCCATCTCTAAGGGACTGCGTTAGAGCAGCGAGTTGCCAGCAGCTCCCCTGGGAATGTGTAGCCACAGCAGTCAGCTCCCCCAGCCCTGCCATCCTGGAAAACAGCAAAGACTGAGACACCGCCCAGCCTTGGGCACAGGATTTAGAAAAGGCTCCTCCCAGTCGGCCCGCTTCACCTGGCTCTGGGGCAGACACGGAGCCTCCGACCCATTCTCTGCATCCCACCTGATCAGCGGCGCTGCTGATTAATCACAACAGGCTTGTTAGCCCCAGTGTGGTTCAGCTTCCCTCTTTGGCCCAGGTGCGGAAACTGCAGCCAGCACACAGCCCCGCCGGAGACCGGCTGTCTCAGCTTCAAATCCTCTGCGGTACTACGAGGTACAACGAGTTGGAGCCACCTTTTCCCATCTTTCCAGCCCTGCTTACTGTCTGTAAGAGAGAAACCCCTTCCTGCCTAACCCTAAAGACCCTGGCAGATCTGAAAGCCAGAGCTCTCCTATTGCAAGCTCTCCTTCGTGGATCAATACTTTCTCCGCTTTGCAAAAACCCTTTCCAATAGAATCTCCTTACTTAGTATGGACTGACTGTCTTTTTTTCAAGTTGGCATCAGAAAGGCAAATTCTGGGTCGCTGGGGATACAGCACCCAGTAATCTCTCAACAAACCTGCAGGACCCATGGGGGACACTGGATTACAGCGCTCCACTATGGGTGCACGCTGCTTGAGGCTTACGGACGCCGAAAATTCTTCACGCCCCTCCAGACCATGTATCCCACAAAGTCACCTCCCAGTGACACACAAGGCTGCAGAGCAGCCGTCTCGCCCCCTCCCCGCCGCAGTGGAGCCGAGCCAGCCAGCGCGCCCGCCCAGACTTACGTCTCCGTCCACGGGCCTCTGGTCGTCACAGTCCCTGGTGGGGCTAATGTCCTGGCGCATGACCCAGATGGGCTCTTTGGGCTCGTCGGGGGTGTAAGGCGAACGGATGGTCCTGGTTTTCACCTCCTCGATGGCCTCCTTGATATCCTTGATGGCCAGCGAGATGGCGTCCCTCTTCTCCTTGCTGTACCGCTGCCCGGCCTCGCCGCCCGTCGGCCCCGCCGCCCGCTGCTGCCCTGCCGGCGTCTGCAGCCCGGGGCTGTCGGGGCGGCCCCCGCCCGGGGTGGGGGCGCGCTCCAGGTCCTGCTCGGCCTCGGGCATGTCCTCGGCAGCCTTGTCGAGGCTCTGCGAGCTCATGCTCTGCTTGACCTCGGCCACGATCTGGTCGATGTCCTCCTCCTGCTCGTAGCTGTCCATGCGCGGGTAGGGCGCGAACTCGGCCTCCTTCTCGGGGCTGTCGGACTCGCCATCGGAGCGCTCGTCGTAGTGGTGCAGCCGCGCGCCCAGGGCCTCCTGACGGTAGGCGGCCACCTCGTCGCGCTCCTGCTCGTAGAGCCGCAGCCCGTCGCGCGCGTCCAGCTCGGGCGCGTCCCCGATCTCCTCGTACACGTGCTCCTGGAGGCCGCCATAGTCGGCGTAGGGCTCAGCGTAGGGCTCGTCCTCGCCGCGGTGGAAGAGCCGGTGCGTGTAGACGTAGCCCGAGTAGGCGGCGTTCATGGCCTCCTCGTGCTCCAGCGAGTGGAAGTGCAGGTGGTTGGGCAGCGCCCGGCGGTGCGTGGCCTCGGCGTGCTCGGCCTCGGCCTGCTCCGTGTACTCCTCGGCCTCTGGCCGGTACTGCACGGCGTAGGCGCTCTCGTCCTCGGCGTCGTAGCCGTCGCGGGCCGCGGCGATCACGTCGCCCTCGGCCGTGTCCGTGTGGTTGTGGAAGCCACTCTCGGTGCTGGCGGAGCGCGCCAGGCAGTCCCCGCGCTCCTCCTCCTCCTGCTGCTGCTGCCCGAGCTGGGCGCGGGGGTCCTGGACGATGGCACGCCCGCGCGGGTGGCGGCCCGCATAGTGTGGCTGCGGCTGCTGCAGCGCCTGCTGCTGCTCCTCCTCCACCTCGGGGCGCTCCAGGTCGGCCTCCACCGACTCGTTCACCTCCCCGCCTGCCGCCTCGTCGGTCACCTCCACCTCCGTGGAGCCCTCCAAGTGGTTCATGGTGGGCGTCGGGGACGGCTGGGAGAGAGGCTGGGCCGGCTCACTGCGTTCTCATTTTGCTCCGCTGGGCTGGGAAAACAAGATGAGGAGAAGCTGTGTTACGTGGCTCAGACGCTAGTGCTGAGCTGAATACCAAGATAACCATAAAAACAGCTGCTACAGATCCTTTCTGCATCTGGGTCAATTAAAAAATGATTGCAAATTTAAGCTCAATCCGACCATTCGTAGCTCATTCTCTTTGTAGCGTGTGTCATAATTTGTAATTACATATCAACTTGTTTAATTGCTTATTGGCTTTCTGCCTCCCCCTGTCCCCGCCCCCCCGACGGAGAGCCTCTTGAGAATTTCTTTCTGCATTAGGCACACTACTCGGGGTCCCTGGCTGATGCATATGAATACGAATACGGAGTACTACTAAACCGAGCGGGCCGATTCACTCTTGTTCTGGCTGCGGAGGGGTAATTTACTCTAAGTTGACCTGGGATCCTAGGAGCATTCTAGAAAGAATTCTTTAAATAAATTTCAGAGAAACAAAAATGTTCTTGAAAGCTTTTGCAAGCCCCTGCTGTCCGCACCAGTACCCCCTGGAGGCGGCGCTGGGTCCCCAGTGGGCTCCCAGGACGGCTTTGTCGTTGCTGGCTCTGCCGCCTCGGGCGCGTGGCTTCATTTTTCTCGGCCTCCTTGATGAGACTGAGACTGAACCTGTTTCCTGCGTGCATGTTACAGCTCTGACACAGGGAACAAAGGACCCCACATAGTCAAGAAAGGTTGGCAAATGCCGGGCCACAGGTGACTTTTCATGTTGAATATTCAAAGGATGGGGAATGTAGGAAGCAGGGTTTCTTAAACATTTTGACCAGGGCATGGTTTCCCAGTCATCAGTGTTGTGGAAAATACTCTTAAAGAAACAGTGCCCTGCTGGCTGCTAAGACTCACTTCCCCATAGACTCTGGATTTAAAAATCTGTGAGTTGCTATTATAGTTGAAACTGGAAAATATGGCTATTAAAAAATTGCTTTACTTATTTCCAGAGAAATGTGTAGAGAGATTTGGTTTCCTGTCTTATCACTAATTCGTCTTCTGGCCTCATCTGTGTATCATGAACAGACAGCAAGGATGTAAAGAATCAGAACAGGCAGGAGCCCTGTGATTTAGAGACATCTGCAGTGCATGCTACAATGTGTGTCTGCCGTTTTCACTTTGGGAGAGCCCCTGTTACACCTAGATGGGTGGATGGGAAGTAAACTCTTGAAAGCAGCTGCAGACAAGTGTGGAAGGGCCAGGGGCCTCTGGCTGACTCTCTGCCATTGGGGTGAACCAGAGTCCACTCAAGTGCCCACCACAACCTCAGCGAGCTCTGCTAGTGCTTAGGCCATCCCAGTCATAAAGGATGCTGCCACTTTGGAGTGACAAGCGCCACCTGCAGGAGAAGGACCATGTCTCCCCCATCCCCTGATGGACCCTAATTAGAAGATAAGCATGGTTTACTAGACAAACATTCCTACTGCTTCCCTAGAGATGAGAGTCTGGCTTTGTCTGGCTTCATACAAATCAGACCCAGGTTCTTTCCAAACATTGTGGTTTCCTCCCGTCAACCCCTGAGAACAGTGCTTCTGCTGTCTGTGTAAGGGAGGTTTCCTAAAGCAAGGACCTTTGAGACCTTGAACAGAAAAGGTACGTGGTGCAGCTGAGGGCCCTCTGGTTAAGTCACTTCCAGTGGATTATGCAAAACACAAATATCGTGGGCAATTCTACCCAAATTTCCTTTAGAAGAACTTTCTAGAAACAACAGATAAGCGCCTCATTTAAGGTACATGGCTCCTTAATGTGCCCATCTAAGTCTGGAGGGCACATAGCACAAGGTTTCACAGAGACAGATTCAATCCCACCCTGCACTTGTCTGGCACTGCAACCCTGAGGTGTCTTCGCTGTGTGAGCTCAGTGTGAGAAATGCAGTGACAACCACACAAAAGTGCCTGAATGGCCAACAATTCACAGTGACCGTGGGAGGAACTGACCCAACCAATGCTCTCAGTGAAAATGGCCTCTCTCTCTGACCAAGTATACTGCGGCGTGTATTAAAAAGAAGTGTGGGTTTTCTTTGGATTAAAACCATATCTGCCCAGTGAATGGGGCTTTCTTGTAACTTATTGACTCAAAAGCAATGGAATGTCCATGCACGAACATGTACATCATGGTAAAGAAAGCTCCTGTGGGAAAATACTGTTAAACACGGCAGCTTTGGTACAATGGAGCTTTCTGTTCACTTAGTATGTTCCCCTCATGCCTCCCGCCCCCAGGCCTCAGGGGAGGATTTATGCATAGGTGGTTTGTCTTGCTCACCACCATGCTTTCAAGAACATGGTTGGACTGTGGTACTGCAATATGTCCACGACACATTGATGGGAGGTATTTCCCTAGGACAAGCTGGTAACTTCCAAGGAAGGGGCTGAAGTTGGCGGTCAGGCCCATCGCTGGCACACACGAGGACTATGCCCCAACCCCTGTCCTATTTAAAGACTGTATTTAAAAAAAAAAACACTGATGTCGTTTTCAAGAATGCCAGGTTACTATGGGAATATGTATTGGTACAACCTTTTTTGAAAGCACTTTAGCAAGATGAATTAAAGTCTGCAGAAGCTAACATACATTTTGCCCCAGTAATTTCACTTACAGGAGTCTTTAAAAAAAAACCTGATATGAACAGAGATGTTATTCATAATATTTGCTTTAAAAGCAAAATTTACAAATAATATTAAGCACTGAGTACTTGCAGGTATGGTTGTTAAATACGTTAGCCTCTTTGCCATCTGGGAAGATGGAGCATTTTCCCAACAGGCAGCTCCACCTGGAGTCCCCGCAGCACTCAAACTCACCAGCTCCAGCTCCCCACCCTCCCTCCATACTCTGGCTCCCCAACCTATCCCCCACCCTTCATATCTCCTGCAAAGGTCACTGTCACCATCAGCCACGCACTGGATTGTCTCCAGCCTACACCTCCTACCCCAAGCTAATGGCTGAGACTATTGCTTTAACGACTCTCAGATCATCATAACACTGTTGCCTTGTCTTGGTGTTAGCTACCGGTTGTTTCCTGGACTCCGAGATTTCTCAGCCCCCTGCACCCTCCACCTGCCAGCCTGATGGTCTTTCTAAAATACAAATCTGAATCCCATAACCCTACGCTTCTGACCCTGCAGTGATTCCCCTCTAGTGCATGGTGCAAATGCTTAGCTAACTATGAGCCAGGCTCAGTGAGGCATGTTTCACATAACAACTCACTCAATCCTCACTTGAGCCCAAGAAGAGAGTGTGGTCAGTATTGGCTCTTTTGCAAATGAGGAGACAGAGGCCTGGGAGCTTGGGGGATTGCCCAGGTAGCACACCCGGCAAGGGATGGTGCTGGTGTTTGATCCCTGCTCTCTAGTTCTAGGGTCTGGTGTCATGAGTCCTGTTCCGGGTAAAACAAGCCTGTGGGCTGCGTTAGCCCTCCAGCTGCATCTCCACACTTCATGCTACACCGTCTGATCCAACAGCCCCAAGTCCTGGCACTAACTCCCAAGATGCTCCCATTCTTGGGCTATTTTTCACCTATTCCTCTTCCTGCTGAATCTTCCTTGTATTCCCCAGAGCAACTCCATACTCAAGTATCTGTTTGGTGCCTGTCATGTCCAGATGGCGTCCCAGGGCTGAGCAGTGGCCAGGGCCAGGGAGGCTTCCTTGCTCTTAGGAAGCCCACTGTTCTCATGCATGGGGAAAGGAGAGGGGAACGAACAATAATTACAGAAAGAAGTCAACAGGATAACTTCACAGTGAAACATTCAACGAAGCAAATACAACAGGGGTGATGGCACAGATGCAGAGAGTGTGCCACGCGGATACTGGCATAGGAGGACACACGTGAGCTGAGGTCTGGACCATCAAGAAAGCAGCAGCCTTGTAAAGAGGAGAGGGCAAGGGCCTTGAGGCGACAAGGGACCTGCTATTGAGGGACAGAAATGTTTGTAGGCAGGTGTGGAGCGAGTAGGGGACAGTGTGATGGGAGATGAGGATGGAGAGATGGGAAGGGCTGAATCAGGCGGGGGCTGGCACATCAGGTGTGGATTTTACCTCAAGGGCAGTGCTGTACTACTGGGGAGTTCAGGCAGAGGCGTGATGAGGCCTGAGTGCATGTATGTGTCTATTTATTACAGCATCTGTCATTGTGAGTAATCATTCTTCATAAAGCTCAGGGGAGAAGAGGAAGGTCTCATCATTTGTCTTTTATTCCTCAGTGCCAAGCACAGAGGATACACAATAGGTAGTTGAGGAATTTTTAGTGATTAAAGAAACACAAGAAAACCTTCATTCCCTGTGTGCTCTCAGCCAGTAGTTAGGGTCTTCTAGACTTCAGCGTGATCACCTTAGGAGAACTCAATTCTTCTTTACACCGTGAATCTTTGCTGTTCTCATCCACCTATGCAGCCTCCCTTATCTTCTGATGTTGACAGTACTCCCCAAATGCTAGTGGTTCAGCCTTCTAGAGTTGGGGGTGGTTGATCCGATTGGCATTTATTGGGCATGTATCAGGCACTGTGTAGGCAAAAGGGATTTCAAAAGTTTCTAAAGCACAGAGTCTTCAAGGGAAGATGCATTCAGTAATGATAATATCTGGTGATAAGTGCAAAATAGCAATATGGTCAAGATATAAAGGAATCTAGAGTTAAAATGACATCATAGTTTGAATTGCACACAATGCTTGTATTCTGAATGGGTGTGGATTCATGAGCTCATAAGCATCCTGGTCCCTGAGGCCTGGGGGCGGGGGGGGGGATGCCACCACACAATCAGTGTTCCTGCTTATGACCATGTGCCTCTAGCGGCAGGGCAGGGGCAAAGGGAGGAGGAGCAGCTGACTGAGTAAATCTCTCCCCATCTACAAGAATACTGGCTGACCTGAAGACACAAGCGAGAGACCCTCGGCAGTGCTCTCAGAGCATGAAGAAGGGCATCCTGGCTGCCGGAGTGCGGGTGTCCAGGCTGCTTACAGTGAGGTATAGGTGACTCTCGGGCCCCTAGTTCTGGAATGTTCCATAGCCTGGTTGGAAAAGGTGAATAAAGGGAGGGAACTCCACTTTTACTAAGTGTACCACTTAGAACATTTCATGACTCAGCAGGTGAATCCAGATAACTCAATGTTTTCTGAGACCAATGTTGATTTTGGATGAATAGAGAGGATTTCCAGTACCCTATCCATTTGAACATATTCAGAAGCAATTTTAGAAGAAGGGTCTGACTGAAGATGAAATGCAATAGAAAAAAGAATAAAAGGAATCTTACTGGGTTGCTAATCCAGAGGATGCTGGGGGTGGGGGGCTTGTGTTGGGGTGAGTGCTAGTAATGCAGGTGCAGGGAACACACAGGAAGGTAGAGTGAGGGAAGTGGGAAAAGAAGGCAAACAGACTGTCTCAGCTTCCCTTGCCCTGAAAACCAAGCAGAAGCCCATTTATATAAAAGTTTTTACATTTGTATAAATTTAAAATGCACAGTTACCTCCTGTGACCCTAATGAGTGCTACCCGCCTTCCCTGTTGTGGTTGGAAGCCCCACTTGTGGGGACTGAGCCTGTCCTGATACACCTGCGCACCTACTACTCCACCAAGTCAGGGGAAGCCTATGTCCCAGAGATGCCGGCAGTGTGTCAGTGTCCGCAGTAACAAACAACTGTGGTTGCCAAACAGGATTATCTCCCGGATGCTGTGGACACACACCCACCCTGGTGATTAACCGTTCTAATTTTCTAAAAGGATGAGATAATAAGGATATCCCAGTAGTCTTATCTATCTTCTCAACTCTATAAAATGCTTTCCCTACCATGGATTAGATCAATTGTGAAACATTTACTAGGGAATCCAAAGACATCAAAGAACTCCACTGGAATCATCAGCTCTTTAAAACAACACATCTTTTTAAAAGAGTAACATAGAGAAGACAGAATGAACCCTGGAGTCCATTAAAGCTTAATCTCCTTCGATTCATCTGGAAGTTAAATTGAGGGATAATGGGAGCCAAGATGCATACAAAACACATTTCTCCTTCCTAAAATCATTTCCACTTTGTATAGACTCACATGGTCAGAAATCTCCTGACACAGATCTCTTGCCTCCCTGATCTCCATGTGCTTGAATCTTCGCAGCCCGGCTTGGCAGGCAGTGCTAGCGGTGACTTCAGGACAAGGCAAACACCTGGAACCCAGAAGCCTTGCTGGATGGTTAGATTCCATCTACAGCAAGGTCGCTGTGGCCAGACTGCAGGGCTGTGTTCTTGACCTTGTCCCTCGTAGGTGTGACTGCACATCTTCAGTCCCCCTCCAGATCCCCCAAGCACCCTTTTGCCTGCTCTGTGCCTGCAAGGCTGGCCTCTTGGAACCACATCAACAGCTGGTCCTCTGGCTTCTGTCTGGGTTTGGCCAGTGTGGAACTTTGGTGAAATATCAGAGAGAGGGAGGAAACTAATATTAGGGTTGTCCCCCACCCCCAGCTCCCTCCCTACAAGGTCACCTAGGGCTAAGGACATCTTTGGTCTGGAGACACAGCCATGTTGACATCACATGATGGCCATCTCCCATTCTCTTCAGGCTTGTTGGCTGTAGGGTAATGGGGTCCTATGTCGGCCTTGGCAAGTAGTTCCTCTACCAAACTCTTTGCCTGTCTGTATGTTAAGTAATTTGAATACCCCGTGTATTTCCGACTGGGACCCAACTGATAACAAAGTGACACTTAGATTTATAGATGACTCCCAAAAATTCAATAATGAGCCCATTTAAAGACAACTGTGAAACAATAAGTAGCACAACTCTAGTGAAAAACATGAAGGTGGCACCTGGATGGGAAATCTTGTGCCAGGCGCCACTGTGTCCCAGCCCCGCCGTACCACCTCACCTGAGGATGCATGCATGTGGGGACCCGACCCAAGAAATCCACACAGGAAGCTTCCAGGACAAAAGAAGCCCCACAGCTGCCCGCCTGCCTGTGTCTCAGTCTCTGTACCTATCCCTTTCCTTTGGCAGAGGCAACCTGACCCTCTCCCACTGGCCTATTCCATCACCTACAGGCTCATCCTGTTCCCATACTCTTTCCAATCATAATTTTCATCTTAGCTTCGTCCCTTACCCTAGGATGAGTGCCTAGCCCCTGGTCTTCCACCTAGTGAATTGAGTGTTTCCCCTGTGGATAGACTGTCCCAGCACTAGCTGCCTCTTCACCCCAGATATTCCATTTCTTAGATGACTAATGCCAATAGCTTGTCAGGTGTCCATTTGGTGACAGCTGCCACATCCCTTAGAAATGGTGGACTGCCTGGTGGACCACACTTCACCTACAGAGGCAACTGAACTTGCCTTCTAGCTTGTGCCCAGCCCAGGCTGGTGGGCCTGATCCTCGTTATGAGTCCTTAGCAAATAGTATCCCTACAAGTCTCAAGAGGGCTGCTTCTGCTCGGAGACGTTGGCCACTCCTTTTTTGGAACAGCTTTCCAAGCTAGTTTATGGAATTTGAAGTCTATGGCATTTGAAGTTGTCCTCAATATTCCACTTAGTTATATTTGATTTTAACCTCACAAGGTCACCATTACCTTATTTACAGGTGTTGACTATGAATGATGCTTACTATTTTTCAAATATCTTTACCTTTATGTATCATCTTAGCAACCACTCCACTTAGTGAGGTATTGTAGTGGCTAAAGGGACAAAATACCTGATTTGAATCCTGGCTTTATCAATTACCAGCCTTTTGATTTTGGGTAACCTCAGAAAATATCCCATTTTTATCATTTTTAATGTTGTGGTGTGGTGGGTTGAGACACCATTTGGGATACCTGCATTCCTCAGATCACCTGTTTGGGCCTTGCTACTCTGCTTCAGATCCAGCTTCTTGCTAATGCATCCTGGGAGGCAGCAGATGATGGCTCAAGGGTTTGAGCCCCTGTCACCCTCATGGGAGACTTGGATGGAGTTCTGGGCTTCTGGCTTCAGACTGGCCCAGCTGTGGCTGTTGTAGGCATTTGGGGAATGAATCACTGGATGCACAATCTCTCTGTCTCTTTCTGTCCTCTCTTTGCCTTTCAAGTAGATGAAAACAAAATCAAAAACATTAAAATGGGGCTTATAAGAGTATCTGTACCACTGGTTTATTCTAAGGATGATATTGGTTAATATATATAAAGGTCTTAGGATCTGATGCATTACAAATGCTATTTAACATGTGCCATACTTGGGATTTAACAGATAAATATGCAATTTTTAAAAAGTGAGAAAAATTAAAAATATAAATTGCTTGAGCACATGGTGGTACATTTATTAATATTACCATTTCCTAAATAAAGCCATGTAGGGGTAGAAAATAAGTAGGTAAGCTACTTTTAATCAATTCTGAAACAAGGCTGGATAAAAGTAAATCCATCAAAGAGTAATCGCAAACCTTGAACTATGGATGGGCCAAGCTATGTGGCGCCTGAGATACTATATTTCCAAGCCTCATGACAGTCCCAGTGGGAATTATTATCTCCATGTGCTGATTATGAAGCAGAGGCTTAGACAGCTTAAATAACTTGTCCAAGGTCACTTGGAGCTGAAAGAGGTGGAGGTAGGGCTCCCTGGCTCTCACTGTTCATGTTCTTCTCATTACATTACACTGAGCCCATCAAGTAATGCCATTGATTTTTTTAAACAAACATCGAAATTGGTGTAATCCCTTTTAGAACAGCCACCTTGGCAGCTCCGCCTCACATGTTCCAAGGGCACTGCTTTTGCTCTAAACACGTTGGGCGCTCCTGTATTGGAATTGATTTCAAAGTTAATGTAAAGGCTTTGAAGGTACCAGCAAATCGTTTTCAATATTCTATAGCCATATGTAGTCCTATCGGATTTTTTTTCACCTCAAAGGCTATCATCCAGATTTATCCACCACCTTATTTACTCGAGCTGGCTGTGAATACTTTTTGATGTTCTCCAAATATCAAATCTATTCCTAGCGGATGAAGATGTGCAAACCATGATTATTCAGAAAGACCCTGGTTCAGCTCTGAAGTTAACTCCAAAGGATGGTTTTAAAAACTGTTTTGATCAGTGGCCACGTGTTTAACTTGAGCCTTTATCCTCACAGAGGAAACAGTGGGAGAGAGGCCAATTGGATGAATGCACTCCTGTGTGATTACTGCAAAGTCAGGTTCATTACTTTCACTCCACCTTGGAATCTGCAGCTAATGCTAACCAGGCAGGAAAATTAATTCATCCACTTGGATTAATTCAGTCGTGCCAACTATGAAGCTCTGATAACAGCCCAGTCTTTGATTACACAGAAATTTCTGCATGTATGCAGATTTCCTTGTTGTCTGGTTCTTGTCTAGCACTTTAACAATCAAATCACTCATTTATCATTCTCATTCCAATAAAATACGTGAAATAAGCTTGAGGCAATCAGAAGAACTCAGAGGGGAAATCTTGGAAAATTATAAGAAAACTCAAGGGGTATCCTCAAGAAATCAAAGTAGATTAAAGTCTGAGTTTTTGTGAAATGCCTCTGGTATAAAATCAAACATAATCCATAATTTATTGAGGTCTACATAAACTTGGTATTTTTTTCTCTGTTGCAGCCCTCTTTTTTTTATGCCCCAAACAACTTCCTTTCTACCCTCTTCCCTGTGACATTTATTAT